CACGAAATTCTATGCAAAGTCCACCACAATAAACTTAAAATTTGTGTTCAACGTGAAGAAAACAGATGGCAAACAATTATCAATGAATCAGCTCCGTACAGTTTTTTTAATCCAAAAAACCGTTAACTCTCGCAGGGTCAAAATAGGCCGCAACGACAAATTTAGTTTGTAATTTAAGGGACTAATGAGGGTTATATTACTTTTCGGAAAATTTTTTTTTTTTTTAATTTAGTTTTACATTGAATTGCACTAACAGTTTTGAATTTTAATAGAGGACTTCAGTGATAGGTTAGGTTACACTGGCCGGCTGATGCGCCTTACATAGATCCGTTGGTCCTTTGTAGTGCCAAATGGAGGTCCGTTTCACTGCGATCTAAAGTAGTCATCGTATAGGACGTCAACGCTTTTTGCGAAGTTCAAGGGAGCTTTAATATCCAGTTTTGAAGCCTCCTCTAGTCTTTTGAACTGCGAAGCTCCGAGATATCTAAAACGAGGTCTAGCTAAGGCCGGACAGAAAGAGAAGAGGTGTTCGAACGTCTCTCTCAAGCCTTCCTCCCTGCACTTCCTGCATGCGTCACTGCTACTAATCCCCATTCTGCTTGCATGGGATGCCAGTAGGTTGTGGCCCGTCATTAGGCCAACAACTGTCCTGCAATTCGTACGTGACCGTGTAAGCAAGAAATGAATGTTTCCTTTGTTGCTATTATACATGATCTTGGTGGTTTTGCATGTCCCTAATGCGTTCCGTCTCGCCCTGATCCGGCGCTCAGCTCTTTCGGAAATTTCATTGTAGATCGTTTTTAGTGACTTTTGTATTTCCTGTACTGGTTCGCTAGCAAGACGGATGGCACTTTTGGCAATCTCATCAGCTATTTCGTTTCCCATAATGCCCTTGTGGGGGCTGGAACCCAGTATATGTGCAGCCGTTTACCCTCGACCGCCTTGTCTACTGTTTCCCTGCTACTAAGGACATTTTCTGACAAAATACGATGTGAGATTATAGCCTTGATCGCCGCCTTACTATCTACATATATACTGATATTTTGACGTAGAATACGTTTTACGTTTCGATATGGAGGCTATGCTCAAATGTTGTAGTTGTAATTTTTAGAGCTTCACGAAAAGAAAGGTGTGGCCTTTCAAACACAAAATTCCAAGCCTTTCGACAGATTCATTTTAGTAAGTAGCCAATTCGGTTTCTGTCGTAGAAACAACGGTAAATATTGGCTTATTTTGGGGTATATTTTCAGCCATTAAAGTTTCTTAGCAACTTATGATTTGCAGATATAACTTTCATTTCCGGGATATAGATTTTTTGGAGCAATAGAAATATTATCGTGTTAAATCAATTATTACACTATGACTATCGATCGAAATGGTTTTGAAAAGGCGTTATTTTTTAATTACACATATGTAGGGTAGGGTTGCCACCTGTTTCAAAAAGCCAGTTCGACTTAAATAAAGGCAGAAAATTGAAATGTTTATCTTGATATGGATGCCAGACGAAAGAGGTTGTGGTTTGGAAATATTTTGAATAGGGTTGCCACCTGTCTCAAAATTAGAATTTAAATTAAGTATTTAAGCATGAGTTAAATGAAATATTAAAATATTAAGTGAAGCGAAGGTGGTAATATATCCTTAGTTTAAATATTTAGATTATTAAAGAGGGTTGCCACCTGGTAAAAACGTACACTCAAATTATTTAATAAATTTAGCAATCATTACGGATATGGGTATCAAATGAAATGGGTTTAAAAAGGCTTTATTTCTGAGCTGTATTTAGAAGCGTTGTCACGTATTTAAAAAATCGAATTTAACTTCATTAATCATGCACATGAAATATTTATGTCGGTATGACAATGTCAGATGCAAGAGATTTGTTTATTTTTTACCTATATTTAGGAGGGTTTCCAGCTGTTTCAGAAGTCTTAGCTAACTTATGCACAAATCCGTAGACGAAGATAATGCGAAGACGAGCACGAACACGAACGGGAATACTAATACGGCTACCTAGGCTAATAAATATAAAAAGTAATACAAATTTCTGTAATATGAAAGGAAATAAAAATGAATTTAAATAATGATACACGTCATAGCATATATCTACTTATAAGCTGATGGTACATATGATTGAAGTTCATGTGGATTTCCTTCTTCTTTATTGCTAAGTATTAATATTTTGCAATTCATATTGATTTATTAAATTCAAGTCTATACAATCAAAACGAATATTTCATGTACCGTTTTTAACTTGAACGTGATCTTAATAATATCACGTATTCTACGTCAGGTCAAGACGAAGGCGCTGGACTGATCCTTTTTATTGTAATTTTTAAATTGTATTATGAAAAGAAAAAAAAATCTAATTTATTTTGTATGGTATTTGAGTATTTAGGTTTTGGCATATGAAATTAATTTTGCAATTTGTAATTTATATTTGAATTGAAATAATTGACTCTAACTACCTCCAACCAGACTTGAACCTGCGATCTCAGAACCATAAGCAGTAGTGTTATAGTACTTATATTGAGTAAATTTACCTCCTCAAATTAACGACGCACTATTATTAGCATGATCCTGAATTAGGAAAAAACTTCTCAAATTGAGTAAATTTTTCGTAATTTTAAGGAAAAATGAGCAACTCTAAAATAAGGAAACTGGTTTCTTGTTTTAAGGAAATGCTTTTTTCTGAGTGCACTTACTCGACTATAAAAATTTCTATGAGATACTTACAATAGATGTACTAAGAAATATATGAATTTAATTTCAACAAAGTTCATAATGCATTAGAATACCTAAAGATATGATTCTTTGAGATGATAGCTCTGATCCAGTACTCCATAAACTTACAGGTACTTGCAGGAAGTTACAGGAAAAATGATCCCGTACTCCAAGTTCCTGCAAAATCCAGTAAATGGGAGCGTATTTTGGAGAACTTTTTCTTCTGGTAAAATCATGAAAAGTGTATAGCCATCACTGGTTGACGTTTTTACAGCAAAAAATGTTTTTTTTTGTTTCCGTACTTTTTCTTGTTGCTCACTTTTTACTCTCACTTCAGAGATCAATTTCGCTGTTTGACATTTTGACAGGATTTTACACGCACAGTATTGGATCAGAGCTGATATTTCATTATAATAAGCATGATAGCATTTGGACCACCTCGTATTAGTGACGTTTGGGGAAATACACACTCAGATGCTAAACTTTATCTAACACAAAAAATAAATCAATGTCAGGCAACGGCAGTTTGTTTGCTATTTACAAATAAATAATAGCAATGCAAATAGTATAAAATGCGCAGATAGAACTATACAAACAACATATTTGTTTATACTAAGTAATCTAGAATGCACAAGTAATGTTCGTATCCGATGTAATTAAGTCGTGAAAACATCCGCTGAAAAAAATCTCACCAAAGCTTTTTGTACATATACACAATCTGTGCATAAAGTGGCTTAGGAAAATTTTTTGGCAACTGTCCTAAATATATTTAATTGTTTCGAAATAAGGCCATTCTAATTTAAAATTGGTTAGATTTTTTTTCTCATTTAGAATAATTAAGGAAAATGATTCATTAGTTAATATACAAAATTGCATTTACTCTTAACCGTTTTTTTTTGACTAGTATCAACTTTACGTTCTGCTATTATAAAACCAATAGAAGCTGGGCTGGTGAATTAGGTAGGCAGGGCACTCTCGACGCCATCAACTCGCGCAGGGAAGGCATAGGAGTTCTGTTGGCAACCTGCCGGCTGTAGTCTCCTGGGTGCAAGCTTGGCTTTCAAGGTCTTTCTGGTCGGTTGTTGACCGCAAGGGGTCAAGAGAGCTCCTGCGGTGAGCTAAGCTCTAGCTCTAGATTCTTACAGGTATACTGACCAGACGTTGTCTTTTAGGAACCCTTGTGGTGCGACTTAACATCGTCATAGATCTCTACTGCGGCAGCTGTTTGGAAAACGAGGTGGAATCATCTTCTCATCACTTCCCTCTCAGCTGCCCGACATTCGCTAAATCAATTTTTAAACACCTCGGTGCGCATTTCAGCAGCACTCCCGAAAAACTATTCGGAGTGGACATCAGCTATTTGCGGAACTTTGTTTTGAGCACCCAGCGCTTCCCAGCTTTGGTTCTTAGCTGAGCCATAGGAGGGTTGCCACTTGTTAAAAAGATCATATTAGGTAAGAGAAATATGTATCACCATATGGGTGACGCAGGAATGGAGTTTCAGAAAGTAGTAGTTTGAAAATATTTTGAAGAGGGCTACCACCTATTTGAAATGTCGAATTTAGTTTTCTTATACACAAGTTATACGAAATATCGCAATATGAATGTCAAACGAAGGAGTCTTAAGAAATCTTTGGTCTAAACGCTAAGAATATTTTTTGTGGTGTTAGAAGAGGGTTGCCACCTGTTTCAAAATGAAAATTAAAATTATATTTATAAGTTAAATGAATTATTAAATTACGGGTATCAATCGAAGGGGGTTTAAAAATTGTTTAGGCTTAAACCGGTTTATAATTTGAGGGGATTTTTTCAAAAAACATCTTTAAGAAACTACTTTTATTTATAAAAAAAAATCCATTTTTGGAGGTATTTTCAAATCGGTCCAGCTCACGTAAATCTTAATATTTTTCCGAAATATTTTGGTGAACATCTTAAAATAATAAGAGATTTTATAATTCCAATGGAAGCACAGTATCGAATTTAATTTTTTTTTATGCGGAGTGATGCAGTCTAATGTACATAGTTAAGTAATTATTTTATGACCATATTTATAGAGTTCTTATCCAATTAATTCTAAAAACGATAAGTAAAGTCAAACAGTAAGCAATATAATTACATATTTATTAAGGCGTTCGCGCAGAAGCTCAGTAGGCTGAAAGTCGCCCGGCGCATACTCTTTTCATCATCACTTCTCTCTCATTACATCCAACATTCAACAATTGCTGTGCCACTTGTCTAGTTACCGTTGAAGTTGTCCAAATCAGTGAGTCAGTTCTGAAATGGTGTTGAATCGAAGCTTATCTGAAACAAAGCGTGAGTTTTCACGAATTATTCCTAATACTCAATTCAAAGGTGCGCACGTAACAGGAAAATTTCTAAAATCAAAATTTTTTTCTTGTTTATTTTTTATTTTCAACTGTAGTACCAACTTTCGGTCGGCGCCATTTACAATGTTTACTACTATTTTGTGGCCTTTCGGCCATTTACGGAATGCGTGTGAATCTTTCGGTGGCCATTGTCGCGATGATGGATAAAAGTGCAGCGAACCCAAATTTTCCTGTGAGTATGAAGTGAAGTGAAAAGTAATGCCTTAAAACTGTTATTTCAGAAATAAATCAAAGTGTTAATTTTCTAAGTACGTGAAAAAATATTTACAGTTTAATTTCGAAAAATATCAAAATTCCGCTTAACAAATAAAATATGGAATTTTTTGGATTGTAATTGTGTTGAAATTATTAATTTATTAAGAGCGTAAATTATACTGATAACTTGCATAAAAACACCAATGTCATGGCATTACGTTCTTTATTTTGCAAAGTGTGTATGCAGCTTCTCGTTAAAGTTGTGCATATGGGCCATTCCTTGGTGACTGGTGGGACATTTTACTGCAGGATGTGATGAATTTTGAACTATAACTATGTCGTCGGAACTTATACAACAGTGAAAGATAATTTTTCACGCAGATAAATAACTAATGTAAAGAATTCCTTACAAAAAAAATATTAATCTTTGCAAATATTATTTGAATGAATGCAAGAGACCCCTTTTTTACCTTTGTGCACTAGCCAAAGCAATTAGTTTCAAGTCAGATTTTTTTTTGTGTTACAAAATATTGCTTCGTTTGCTTTCAATAAAATTTAGGCTGATAAAATCTTCGTAGAAATATTTAAAATTGTGTCTGGTGGGGCAGGTCCTTGTGAGTGGTGTTAAATAATTATGTATGAAGTAAAATTTTCCATATACAAAAATTACAGCTTTTTTATTATTTTTTTATTTCTCAACAGATGATTAAAATTGAAGCATCAAAGATCTAATTCTAAACCTTTCATGGGAGATGAGATGAAGCTCAACATTGGTTGAAATCGTTATGTTGTTCGTAAAGTTGCCTCAATTTGGACCCAACTTTGTTTGTGTTCTGTAGATTTAAAACAATTCACCCTAGTCGGGTCGTTTTCGCACCACCCATCCTCCATAGTCATGACCGCTTATTTTTTTATCGAGTTTAACCCTCCTCCAGCCAGGTGCCAATCAGAACTTCACTGCACTTACGTTATGCTCGAAGGTTGAAGATGCATTGGAGTACTTTCATTTCAGACTTATTTATGAGCCAAGTGAAAGTGATATCGCAGGAACCTGGCCAGCGGCGGCACCCTCGAGGCACCAAAGAAAAGGATGTGTGGGAGTTCCCTAGACAATCTGTGGATTTCTCTTGGAAAAATGGGCCTCCAGTCAACTCAGTGAACGCTGAGGTAAAACCAAGAATGTGCCACTGTGAGGTCATTCTGGCCGAGGATGGTCTCGAGATCTGCTTAGGCTCGCGAAGCTGGATCTCTTGATTATGGTGGGCGTACTGGCAGGCCACTGTCCTATCGGGGTTTACGCAACTGTTTCGCAGCAGACTCCCTTTTCTCGAAATTGTATGGAGTACGAAGAGGTGGAATAAGCTGAAGCCTAACTAGTGCGGATTAGCTTTCCGGGACTAACATCTTCCGCCTGTGAAACTTCCTTCTCGGCAGGCAGCGATTCTGGCTTTAACCTAGCAGTTACTCATTCAGTGCTTTTTTTTACCTAGCTGATCCTGTAATTTGGCCTGTACCATCACCGATCACCATATACCAGCTAGTCGAGAAGTGTAAGACAGAATTACGCTCAGTGTCTGCATCAGTAAGGGTCTCTCTTGTCTGGTTTCCCGTCCATAGGAGTAAGTAGGAGAAAACAACTCCTCCCTGGGTCCCTGCTTATTCTGTTTCACTAGTAGTCTTACCTTAGTTTTGAGCATGTACCTTTCCTTTTCATAAAAGCCTCAAAAAGCCACAAGATTGTCAGCCGCTTTTTTTAGCGGAAGTGCTCTGTTACTTGTAGTCACCGTGCTCCTTAAAAACTATCTTGAAAACATGTTTGCTAGAAGGAATTCTATGCTAAAAAAACATGCGAAGCGGCAAAAAAAGTTTAGAATTTTGGTTGCTTCAAATGTAATTTGTAGCAGATCATCGCTTCCAGAAAATACTCAGCCTTCAAACGTTTACGCTCTTTTAGCGCTTTACATTAACCCAAAAAGTTTCAACACAACGAATATTTATTTCTCACTTCTTCTATTCACAGGAGTACAAATGGTCAGAGCAAACAAAATCCAAGGTACTCAGCAGCTTCTTCTGCGGCTATATATGCACACAAATTCCCGCCGGTGGTTGGGCGCGTCGCTTCGGCGGTAAAGTGATGTTAATGTTCACTGTAACCAGCAGCAGTATATTGGCCATACTGACACCGCTTGCAGCCAGCATTGGAAACTGGCAGTTACTGTGTGCGCTACGCTTTCTACAAGGTTTTGGACAGGGCTCCACAATACCAGCCATGGCCACAATTTTGGCTAAATGGGCGCCAGTTGAGGAGCGCAGCTCTTTGGCAACGTATTTATTTTCGGGCGCACAATTTGGCACTGTGATAATGTTGGGCTCCAGCGGAGCACTAGCCTCCTCAAGCATGGGATGGCCAAGTATTTTTTACATACCCGGTGGCTTGGGTTTGCTGTGGGCGATAATTTGGTTATGCTTTGGCGCCAGCTCACCCAGCGATTGCAAAGTAATTTCCGATGCTGAACGCTCATACATTGAAACGTCACTGAGCAAGCAGGTGAAAAGTGAAGAGCATGAAATGCCCACTAAAGTGCCATGGTGCAAGATATTCACATCGCCGCCATTTCTGGCATTGTTGGTAACTCATTGCGGCTATACGTGGGGCTTCTGGACTCTGCTCACTCAAATACCATCGTACATGAAGAGTGTGCTGGGCAAAGATATCAAAAGCAATGCATTGCTCTCCGCTCTGCCATACCTCTCAATGGTAATTTTGGGTTTCATCTGTTGTCCCTTCGTTGAGGCGTTGGAAAAATCGAAGCGCGTCAGCCGAACAGTCAGTAGGAAGGTCTTCAACACAATCGGCCAATGGATACCGGTGACCACTTTCATTTGGTTAGGCTATGTGAATGCCGATCAAAGTGATTTGGCTGTCGTTCTGTTGACCGTCACTGTGTCGATTACTGCAATCACGCATTTCGGCTGGCAGGTGAATCATATTGACCTATCGCCACACTTTGCCGGCACGCTGGTGGGATTGACCAATAGTGCCGCCAATGTGATGAGTATTATTGCACCACTCGTGGTTGGTTATATCGTAACGGATCCGGTGAGTTTTCTTTTTTTTTAATAGAAATGAGTTTATTAGCAGATATTTATGTGTTTATCCTTTTATTTACTTCTCACAGACGAATTCAGTACAGTGGCGCATTATATTTTTCATTGCTGGCGGTTTCAATTTCTTTGCAAATCTACTTTTCATTATTTTTGGCACAGCAAAGGTGCAGCCGTGGCATGATGAAGAGCTTAAGGTACAGGAGCTGAAGCCACTCAATGAAAATTTGGTGGTGGTGACGCCAAGCAGCGAGGAAAAGGAAGAGCCAAAGGAGGGAAATGTGCTAAAAGAAACGGCATAAAGTTTAACCAATACATATACGTACTATTAATTATATCAACTAGTTATAAAAAATCAGTACCAGATTGGTCGAGCATTGCTCGGAGTGCATTTACTTTTTAAAGTTTCCAATGTTTAGGTATACAGAAATGTTCATTTGGAAGGCTTTAATTTACAACTATTTTGTTTGTAATATTGTAAAGGAAATTATTATGTAACATTACGCTATATCGAGCCCTAACCGCCAAAATAACGTAAGCGACATTTTTTTCAAAATTTTCTCTTTGATGCAGAAATAATTCTAAAGCATCTAGATGCATTTCTGCAACAAAAAGAAAATTTTGGGAAAAATGTCGCTTACGTTATTTTGGCGGTTAGGGCTCGATATGTACTATGAATGTGCACATAAGGCTTTAAATCTACAAAGTATGTCGATACAAAAATGTTATCAATGCATTAACATTTGAGCCAAATAAGTACCTAATTTTCCAGTGATAAACAACATAAAAAAATTTTGAAAAAAGTATGTTCATAAACAGAAAATATTGTCAATATTAAAGCCTACTAAAATCCTAAAAATTTCATAAAAAGTATAGTTTGGAAATAAATAAAAAAAATGATGCTTGTGATATTCAAAACATTATTATATTAAAAATTAGGTGGCAACTCTATTTAGGAATACACTAGAATATATAGTACATACCTGGAGTGTATATGTACTGTCTATACACACTAAATATAGACATGCAAAAAATGCTCATTCACATTAACCCCTTACTGCATGAATTATGAAGGAGATGAATAGAAAAATTTACTGTGAAAACCACGTTATTTACGTATCAGTAAACTTATATAAAAAAAATTACTCCGTATTTGTTTTCAAAAAAAAAAAAACACGTGGCAACACTCGTCGAAAATATTTTAGAATTTAAGTTTTCAAAACTTTCTTTTAAATAAATAATATCCTTATTAGGAAATTTTAGTTAAAGTGCAGAATCGAAAATAAGTGACAACCCTGCACTAACTTCCTAGGTGATAACACTCAGAACATAGGCAAATATACATATATAAATATATAGTTTATATTATATGTTTAACTTCTAAACAAAAAATTTAATAAATACTTGATTCAAAACAGAGGGCAACATAATTCAATAATATTTCTGAATTGAGGGTTTTTATAACTGTTACTATTTAAGAGAAAAGGTTATTTGCATATAATTTCCGTATAATAAGTGTTAGAGCGCTGCTACCCACGAAAGTGTACGTAGCGTACCGTAGAACATATCGAATTTCCTGATGATAGAGAGAGAGAGAGAGAAGCAACGTCAACGTCACGGTCATGCGGTGACAACGAAACAAACAATCACAGAGGATGCGCTAGAATAACTTGCTTAAAGCATAAACTATACAAAGTAAGGAGTGTGTCGAGAGGTCAATACTATAATTGATTTATTGATGACTGCAGATTCATTGTTATTTTTTCATTCTGCTCCAGACTGACTCACTTTGTTTTCATCTCTTACATGGAAAAGACAAAGCAGGGAGTCGCCTTTTCTAAATACTTGTTTGGTATCGAACGACCCGGACAGAGCTGGTGGCGTTGCTCAGCTTTATTTTACCCTGCCGTATGAGTTTCAATACCATCCCAAATTCAGACATCGTGGCATATAGACATCTCATTTATATGCGTATAAAGCAGCTTTAAAATCGAAGGAGAAAAAGATTATATCTGTATATTTCTCTCTCGCAAGTATTTTCCATGATTTGGTGTATGGTGAATACCTGGTCTTTGGTGAATTTACCAGGTCTAAAGCCACATTGATAAGGCGCTATCAATTCGTTGACGAACGAAGGACAGTTTGCACGATAAGACCGCTTATACGACTTTTAAGAGGCAGATACCGCATTTTTTTGGATGGGACGGAGTCCCTTGTTTTTTGTCCCTTAATTGCACAAACTCAACCAGATCGCAGTGTTTTCTTTAAGGCGGCCTGATGAAAAATTTTATGCTTCTGCGGTTTTGAGTTAGTACGCACTTTCCGACAGCGGTCCCGAAGATCTTGAGTGGAAAATGCTCATGAGTGCATGTCAAACGTTCATAGAAGATATATGTATTTGGATGCTGGCGCGTTGATGCAATTGATCGAGATGTTGAAGAACCGTGCTTTGATTCGAATTTTTGGCGAAAATTTCGTTCAAAGCTGCACTACACGGGGTCAACACCCCACGTGTATTTTTACCTTGTCCAGTCCATCACATGGATGGCTTTGATGTCAGTCTTATGCCGGTGTTCATAAAAATTAAATTAGATTAAGAAATATACATACATAGAAGTTAAAGGAAGATTCATTAAAAAATAATTAATTTAAAAAATTATTATGTTATGGTTTCGAATGGCACATTTACTTGCCGAATATCAACGCAAAAATCTCCTCAAGACATCCACTAGACGGGAGGGGGCACAAGCTCCATTCCAGACGCATACCCTTAAATAATAATCGTTTAAACATTTTCCGTGGTCATCATCAAAAGAAGGAAGTGTCATCCTAGGCTTAATCTTACTTTTCATTTGAACTCAGTTTTAAGTAGAGGCTCCCAAACCGAGCACGCAACCAAATCCTGAAGCTAATAAGTCGGAGTCTCCCAACCAAAACTCTCTCTCCTTGTTACGTGTCCCAAAGCTACACATGTATACATACATATGATGGCTACCGCATCTTGCATCTTAAGTAAAGTCGGACAACAGTGACTGGATACGTAGAAGCCCTACTTTATTCCCTATATAATTGTAACCTTGATAGGTCAACGCAGTGCAATTCTTCTGGCATTATCTATTTATGTATATGAGTATCTTCACGGCTTATTGTTAGATTCCTTATTTTTCCTGCAGTTCAATGGCCGAATACATGCATAGAGCTTCCGCTGAAGTTCATTGCCAGCAGTTCATTACCACCAAAATTAAATTAAATATTTATCTAAGAAAAAAATCCAAGACTCAAATGCGCAAGAGATTTAGCTGTGGGAATTTATGCATGAATAAATGTGCACAGTGTTCTAAAACAATGATCGCGTAGCATGCATTAAAAATGAAAAAAATATTGGAAACTGGATTAGAGCTTCTAGAATAATAAGAACATCAAAAAGCTTATGGTTTTCTTAACGGATAAAGCATCAATAGGCAAGAGATTGACACATCCTTTAAATAGGTTAGGCTAGGAAGGCGCTTACAAATGATTCACAGTTACACTTGGAGCTAAAATTGCTCGTTGTGAATGCCCTCTATAAGTGCCAGGACGATCCGCATCCTTCCTTATCAGTATAGTGTCTGTTAAATCATTTAATATCCCGGGTGAAGCTAAGCAGCTCCGATATTTTTACTTCCTCTTTATGCTCCGAAATGCTTGAGACGCCTTGTCTGACGAGCTAAGCTCTGACATAGAAAATTCTGAATCGATTTTACTTCGCCCTCATACCGGCAACTACTGAAGAGGTAGCTTGTTGGTATACGCCATTGCTTGAGTACTGGTGCTATAGCCACCCTGCAAGAGACCTATTTTTCCGTATGAGACACGCCGCCTTCTATAGAATAAAAGATCTCCGCCTGAAAGACACTGTAGTTATCAGGCAGGCAATATGATTGCCTTATCCGCAGGTTCTTGAAATATAGTCGACTCGAGTCGTCTCGAGTCGACTCCTTGAGCCATCGATGTAGATGGAAATACAATCACTGCCGGCTTACCAATCTTCCCTTATTGTAAAATATATGGGAATCTTAAGGATGAAATCCCCAGATGACATAAGTTAATCGGTTTCGACAATTAAGTCGCCCTTGATTCCGTTATGCCGTGCGTTTTGATTGGCTTAAAAACTCATTGTTCTTCTAATTACAGAACCTGTGCCTACAGATACATTGATTGTTCTACTCATTTCACTATGGAGTGGATACACATCACTGTACTTCTTCTTCTTCTGTAGCTACCCAGGGCCATGTAAATTGCTGTCGTTTCGACGTTGTTGAATGCGCCCTCGACTTCGAAGAAACTAGGCCTGGGTATTTTCCCTACTCGTGTAAATAATTTATAATACAATTTTGTCAGCTGTGTATTTGCGTAAGAAAAGTTGTCTTACTTTGTGCTTTGTTTTTATTTTAAAGTTACTCCCGAATGCGAAACTCTTTCACAGATGAAGTCTGCTAATCACTGTACATAAATGGTATATATATTTTTACGTAGATATGTAAATCGTACACAGTCAACCCAAACAAAAACAAATTTAAGATCATAAAAACCTAATCAAATGAACATTTTCCAAGGCATTGTTGAGTTTCTCAAACATATTTATGATTAGATTTAGATGAAAGAAGACAATGCATGCTCATAGAAGACATTTCTAGAAAAAAATTGCTGCATTTATCTTAGCTAAATATAAAATTTTCTGTGTTTAACCAGTTTACGCTGCCGCCAACAGAATGGCTGAACTGCATGTTATCATAGCAAATGGCAACTGCATACGCCATCATCTTCATCTTTTGTTACTGGCGGACAATACCACTTATAAAGCACAGTTAGCAGCAACTTCATATCATTTGTGCCCAAAGCAGAATACTAGACAGGTTCAAGGACATACCAACTTACAGATTTCAGCGACAGTCAACAGCAACTAAACACTCAAACATGATGGAAAAACGTCGCATCTCATTGGAAACTAATGACATGGTCAGTCAGCCCATGCTCGGCGTCCGCCATCTACAGTGTTTCCTTATCTTCTGTGGACTATGCCTGATTTACGCTATGCGCGTCAATCTTTCAATGGCCATTGTGGCGATGATGGATAATGCCGCAGCGAATCCTAACTTTCCGGTGAGTAATAGTTATCAATTTCAATACAAACATTGTATTTGTGGCAAGCACAATTTTACTCATGCTCATTTTTTCTTTAGGAGTACGCTTGGTCGCAGCAAACGAAATCGCATATTCTCAGCAGCTTCTTTTGTGGTTATATATTGGCGCAGGTACCATCTGGTCACTGGGCGCGCCGCTTCGGTGGGCGTTTGCTTTTATGCATCAGCGTGACCGTTAGCAGCACATTGGCGTTGCTTACACCTCTAAGCGTCAGTCGAGGCGGTTGGCCAATGCTGTGTGCCTTACGCTTCTTTCAGGGCTTATTTCAAGGCGCCACCTATCCCACGATTGCAACTATAATGGCTAAATGGGCACCCATTGAAGAGCGCAGCGCAATGCTGACTTACTGCTGTTCGGGCCTAGAATTGGGCATATCGATTATGTTGGCCATCAGTGGTGTACTCTGCTCTTCCAGTTGGGGTTGGCCCAGCACCTTCTATATACCCGGCGGTTTGGGTCTCCTATGGGCTATTGTTTGGTTTGTATTTGGCGCGAGTACGCCGAATGATTGTAAATACATTTCAGCCGCTGAACGTACACTAATTAACACATCTTTGAGACGGCATGCAAAAAGTGAAGAATGCAACACCACGAATGCGGTGCCGTGGAAACATATCGTCACCTCAAGACCCTTTCTGGTGCTTGTACTTAGCCAGTGTGCGAGCTCTTGGTGCTTTTGGACGCTGCTCACGCAAATACCATCCTACATTAAAAGTGTGCTCGGCAAGGATATACAAAGCAATGCTTTCTATTCAGCGCTGCCCTATCTCACTATGCTCGCTGTTTCACTAGTACTCTGCCCATTGGTGAGCTACTTGGAAAAGTCGAAGCGCCTGAATGCGACTGTGAGTCGAAAGCTATTCAATACAATCGGCCAATGGATACCGGCGGCAACACTCGTCTACCTCGGCTATTTACGCACCGATCAAGGAGACTTGGCCATCACATTGCTGACGCTGACTGTAACAATTAGCACTGTTACGCATTTTGGCTATCAAGTGAATCACCTGGACTTATCGCCACACTTTGCGGGCACTTTAATGGGCATTGCTAATTCGGCGGCGAATGTGATGAGCATCATTGCGCCGTTGATCGTCGGTTATATTGTCACAGATGCGGTGAGTGGGAATGGTGGAAAATTTAGCAGTTCAATTTTATTTTATGCATAAAATTGTGCTTATTTACAGACAAATCTGCATCAGTGGCGGATTATCTTCATTCTAGCAGGAGGTATCAGCTTCTTTGGAAATTTAATGTTTGTTTTCTTTGGCACCGCCAAAGTGCAGTGGTGGAACGAAGGCTCACAAATGAGCAGTGGGCTTAAACACAATGGGGATGGACGGTCTGTAGACATAAAAAGTATTGAAATTTATGTGCCAAAAAGTGCTGAAAATGTTAGCAGTTCAAGAGAGACCTTAAATTTAGATTAGTTCAGTTTATTTAGTTTACCTTATTTTTTATTTATTTTTTTTTACTTTGTTTTATTTAATTTTTTTTTGTATTTTATTTTATTTTAAAAATACTAAGCAATTATATTATTTTCTTGTTTTCTTTTGCGTTTGTTCTTAGAAAATATTACTTTCATTTAATACATATCTCCTCGTATGTATGTATATTTGTTTTACACACACAGTCGCATGTAAGAAATATTTATAAACATAAAAAAATTAGATAAACTTAACGAGATTATATACAGCAGCCGAAAAAAGTACGTTAAATAAATTGATAAGAATATACCGTGGCGAAAATATAATTAAGGAAGTGATATTTTAACAAGTTTTGGCTAGGCTTCTCTTTTTTATAAATATTTATTATTTTTTATGAAAATATAGATTACCTTTAGAAAATAAGTAAATCAAAATCTTTCAAGCTTTGCAGAACATTTACAAAAATTAAGCTACACGCTTAATTCTTAACTCTGAACATTTCCGAATCAAAAAGAAAATAAAAAAAAAGTGTCGCTTACATCTTTTTGGCGGTGAAGGCTCGAAATTTTCATCAAAATTTTAAATTTTTTAACACATTTTTTATATTTTTTTTGAACATGTATTGTTGGAGCCCATTGCATTGTAGTACAATAAAGCGCAAGTTTGAAGTAGCCAGAAATTACCTTTGATTTTTTTAGCAAATTTTTTTCCCTTATTTTTTTCCATACAAAGTTTGTTCGTGAATTTTCTTGTATGGAGAAAATGAACAACACAAAAAAAAGTTGCCAAAAATCAACGGTAAGTCCTAGCTACTCCATTTTGATACCAAAATTTAATGGAATAAAAAAACTGCATACGCTTTAAGATTGTTTCTAAAAAATATAATTGAAAAGTTCAAAAATATTGATGAAACTTTGTCGAATTTTGAATTATTTTTTGTACAAGGTTTGAAATTTTGACTAGAGCTAGACTTTCATAAAAAAAGTTAAAATCATTAAATAAGCGAAGAGGAAATAACCAACGAATGCTAAAATGTCTCTTCCCTATTTATATTTTCGCTACTGTACATACGTATTTTTACGAACCCTGTTTAGAAAACAGAATATAGTTAGTGTTAATACCATTTAACAATAAGAATAATAAATTTTTTTAAGCTCAGCGTCCGGCCGAGCTTCTCCCCCAATTCGTAGAGTACTTTCTAATACTAAAACACAAATGGAGAGACCGAAAATTTGACGTCTCCTCCGCACGCGGTTAGAAAAAGTGCGTACTCATCAAATCTGTAGTGTAAACGTAATTTTTTTTTTTTGGGGAGGAGGGTTTGAACTTTTTTTTTCATATAATCAATTGCACCAAATATGCTTATATTTTAGTTTTTTTTTTTAATAAATTCTAATGCTTACATACAGTTGTCTACAAAATAGTAGGCGTGAAATATTTTGACTAGTTTCGGCTATATGGCTTTTGTTTATTTAGCTTTTTTTTTACAAAAGTCTAGCTGGTTTTAAAGCAAACACCATATAAATTTACATTTAAAACTTTGTACAAAAATTTTAAAATTCTGCAAATATTTACCAAAATTTCAAATTTTTTAACAGAATCTTTAGAAAAAGTTTTAATTTAATTTTATTTTAATTCTGATAGCAAGTGTAAATTTCAAGTTGGTAAAAAAGCCCGTTGCTTTCTGATATTTTTTTTTTTGTTGAATATGTTTCACGTTTGCCCGCAAAAAAGAGGCAAATATCAAAGGGATTTTTTAGCAACTCAAAACTTGCACTTCATTAAACTAAAATATAATGGGCTACATAACTGCATACCAACCTTTTTCTAAAGATTTTGATTAAAAAGTTTGATATTTTCGAGATAGTTTCCAGAATTTTTACCATTTGTTTACTTACCAAGATTGAAATCTGAATTTGTTTGGTGTTGTTGTATAACCAAGAGTTTTCTACAAAAATTTCAAACATTAAATAAACAAAACAGAGACGAACGGTGGTAGGGGGTTTGGGGGTTTTGGTTTGAATTTTAAGGTTTTCGAAGCTTTTGAAAGGAACTAAAAGTAATTGGACTCAAATTGCACCTTTCAACTTTTTACGTGTTCAGTATTATTTAGAGTTTCAACGTATTTTGGAATAAAATTATTTACCTTGGGGGTGGAAACCCCAAAACTCCTACCAGCGTATTCGCCCCTGTCAGAAACTATTTGTAATTTATGGCGATTTCGTTTCTACAAAAAATGTTGCCTTCTCATCGCCCTCTTCTTAGTGTTTGTGCCCAGAGGGCAAAGAGAAGGTTGAATTTTTCTAAAGAAACGAAATCGGCATTAGATATTGCTTGGACCAGAAATCAAACACAGGAAGTCGTACTATATATCTCTGACCACTCAGCCGCAGAAGCCGCATATACCATCTACTGTACTGCTAAACCATTATAAATGAGTTCTTGTTTTTTTTTCATTTTGTAGTTTTGAATGAAGTCAGCCGATAGTTTCTTTTTATTTTGATTCGAAATTTTCTATTAACATTTCGAAAAATTTTCATATACCCACATACATACATCGTAGATATAATAATTACTCATTAGTTAAAAACATTTAATAACTTGTTTTTATAAATTTAAACATTAATTTATGAACCAAAAAGTTTGGGGTTTAAAAGTTCACAACAAAGATAAAGAAAGTACCTATCGCTGTACCTACAATAAATTACACACTAAAATTTCCACTTCACCATGAATTGTGCTTAATTTTTTCACACTGTAAAAATGTCAAGTTACTGTTAAATGTGAAAGTGTAAATATTTGGTTAGGTTAACGTGATTTCGTTTCTACGGTGCAAAATGTGTTTGATGCTGCAGTCAACCCTGTCAAAGGAAATCCTTTTGCTTTCATGTCCTTTTCTAGCTGACGTATTTCATAATATTGTCGTTTTAAGCAATCATCTGATTTTCAGAATAACCATCTCTCCTGACAAAGCTTCAAAGGGCAGAGAATGCGCCTTTCTTGCTTTACAAGAGCGTGGCATTTTAACCGACCACCGTTTGCGTTTATTTGAGAACCGAACAGGAAAAGAGAAAGGGCAATGAAAAAGCGACATCTTTGGTAAAAAAACGAAAACAAATATAACAAAATGTACAGAAAAATTGCAAATCGAACACTTGTAGTTCATTCAATTTACTACAAAAAAATTGTTTGAGCACCAATCGCTAATATCGATATTTCTGGAGATATTGGGCTTTTAAATTTATCAACAATTATCACAATTTAGCTCAATAATTATTGGCCCACTGGCCCACTGTCCGAAGTGTTCCCAGCACAGTTTGGAGTATACTCTACTTGTATTTATGCACAATTTTCGATTTAAGGAAAAATAAGCACGTTTTATAAAATGTGGTGGTGTTGGCTTATTGAGACAATTTCTACGCGATGAAGACTTCAATCAATTTATTTATAGAAATGTACCGATAAGACTTCACAATGAGAACGCGAAAGTATTGATTACAGCCAACATATAAAGCTGATTTTTTTTTTTCAAAATTACACGTGGGAAAAAATTACAAATACTTTTACAGCCAATTTCACGAAAGCAATTTAAGTGAAAAATTATTTTAATTTATTCAAATTTATGTGGAAATTGACAGAAAATAAAAATAATTTTCCATTTAAATTGCTGGTGAAACCGGCTGTTAACTATAATAATAATATTTATAGATTGGCGCTTACACATACATATCTCAGTATTTGGCCGAGCTTCTCCATTGATTTTTTGACATGCACCTTGATGTTGTCACACAAAGTAGATGGACCTACAGTTTTACGTCGACTCCGAACGGCGATTGTATTTTTATGAGAAGCTGTTTTTCATGGCAGATCCGACAAGGGCACGACCTTCACCCATTTGTTTAATTGATGAAATCTACTTTGTGTGAAATGTAACGTATTAGGAAATATATTGCGACTGGGTTGGCTGATAAAATTCTGGCCAGTATATTTTTAGTTAAATATTCAAAAATTAATTTTACCAACCCGATAAGTAGGCCAGACAAAAAATAGACAAGCCAACGTTTTCATATTCTATAGGCTTATTACTTTCGATTGGTATATAATTATAGAAATAATAATAATTTTTAAATTAATTAAAAATATATATATAAAATTTAATTAAAAATATCCTGGCCAGGATTTTTTTAGCTAATCCACTCGCGAAATGTTTCCTAGCACGTTAAATTTCATACAAAATAGATTCCAGCCATTAAACAGTAAATAAGTTAAAGGAAATATTTTGATATGGCTACCAAACGAGAAAGCTTTACGAAAGCCTTATTTCAAAATAGCTCTGGGGAGGGTTGGCAAGTGTTCAAAAAGTTAAAATCAATTTAAATAAGAATTTAAATAAGAAATGGGTATCTAACGAGATAGCTTTTAAGAAATCTGTGTATTTCGAAATTATTTTTGGCCAACGTTGCCACCAGTTTAGGAAGCTAAAAGAAATCCTAATTAAACATATTAAAAATGTGTGAGTTGTTTTTTCTTTCAAAAAATTTGGCATGCAGATAGCTTATGACCTTTTTGACATCTAACAATAGGGTTACCACCTAACTAAAAAGAAAAATTTTATTTTAAATTACAAATGAGGGTTAAAGGAGAGGAGATCAAAAACGATTACTTAAAACATATTCTTTCAGAGAGATAAAGTTTCTTCTTCTTCTTCTTTGATAGGGTTACCACCTGATTAAAAACTTGAATTTTATTTTAAATTAAAAGTGCAACGAAATTGTGCAGTACAACTTAATGTGAACGAAATACCAAGATTTAAAAATGCTTTATTGCAAAAATGTTTCTTAAAAGGATTGCCATCTATTTAAAAAGTTAAGTTCAATTTTGTTAATAAGTTAAATGAAGTATAGAGGCGAACAAATTTGGTTTAGAATGTTTTATTTGGAAATATTTGTAAGAATGTTGCCATCTGTTTAAAAGTCAAATCCAGTTTTTTTTTCATAAGTTAA